ATGTTCAAAGTATGTGAGGCATACTTATATTTATATGAGATAAGTGTACCTATCTGCCCTTTAAAAAATATATAATATGTGTGGGTGCACTTTGTAAGAAAGTATATTACTGACGTGGAAGAATCACACAGCAAAAATGTCAAAAGTGCGTCAGTCATTTATGAACAGAAGCTAAAAACAAGTTTAGTCATGATGGGGTTAAAAATCTGGTAACCTCAGCATTTAGCAACATCACACCCAACTTAAAAAAGCACACAACCCTTTTAGGAAATAAGTATAACTTGTCATAAATTATTCAGAAGCTATAAGGTGTACAATTTTACACGTTATAGGAAGAAAACTAGCAGTACCAAAATATACTAAAAGGCATATTTAATTTTGTAAACAAATATAATTGTTGCAAACAAATGTATAGTTAATCGCAAAGCAGACTTAAAAGGTATATGGTAGTATGAATTTGCTTGGATGTGTAAATATACAGCAGGTTTACAAAAGGAAAATAGAATGAAAAAAACTAAAATGTATTACAAAACTGTTATAGTACAGGAGAGGACAAAGTGACAATACCGGAATCTGCATATAATATACAGTAAACAGAAAATCTGTACAAAAATAATGAGATTTAAAACCAACACCCAAAAAAATACTAAAGGCATAAGAAGGAGAGTGCTTACCTGTGGTTGGGACATCTCTGCTTGCTATCCTATTAACACACAGTCACAATGCCTCTGTGCTTTCTGTTCCCAGGCTAGACAAACATGTCCATATATAAGAAGGGGCTGACGTGAGAGGTGGGTGTCACATACAACCTTCTCCAGAGAAACTAGACACTGAGTATTTTAAGATGAAAGATAACTCCAGTTCAAAGAATCTAAGCAACTGTTTCTTAAATTGGGGTACAAGCTACAGCAGTTACTACATTAAAAAAAACATCACTTATTTCTGTGTGTTACTCAGATGTGGCTCCTGGGGGCATTTAAAAGCCATATTTTAAAATTAAGATGAAAGCTGTTTATACCAGGGTCAGTGGTAGCAATAAATGGCCTGGCATCAGTGGTCAGCAGGAGAAATAAATGTCTTTGCATCAGTGGTCAGTGCATCTGTAATATATGCCCCTGCATGACTCGGAGTAATAAATGCCTCGGCATTGTAGTCGGTGAAAGTAATAAATGCACTTGCATCAGTAGTCAGTAGATATAATAAATGCCCCTGCATCAGAAGGAGTAATTATTGACCCTGGTTTACTGGTCAGTAAGCATAATAAATGCCCTTGCATCTTTGGTCAGTGGAAGTAATAAATGCCCCATGCATCAGTGCTCGGTAAAAGTAATAAATGATCATCAGTGGTCGGTTGAAGTAATAAATGGTCATCAGTGGTCAGTAGAAGTAATAACTGCCCCTGCATCAGTGGTCAGTAGGAGTAATACCTACCCTTGTGACAGTGGTAAGTAGGAGTAATTAATGCCCCTGCATCAGTGGTCAGTAGGAGTAATAAATGCCCATGACTCAATGCCCTGGCATTAGCGGTCATTAGGAGTAATAAATCTCCTTGAGGGCTCGTTTCCACCAGCCTGTGTGCTCATCGCACTGTCCTGTGCCCGGAACGCAAGGGATCACATACACACAGTCTCCTTGTATTCTGGGGCGAGAGGGGGCATGGCATGTCATAGGCACTGCAGACAAGCCCTCCCCCCCCGGCCGCATGGTAATAAAATGCCAATTTGCAACTGTACCGCACTGGAATGCAGGGCATTTTATTACCATGTGGGCAGGGGTGTGATTACAGTGTCATGCCCTGACATTGTGGTCAGTGGGAGCAATAAATTCCCGTGCATCAGTGGGAATAATAAATGCGCCCGAATTGTGGTCGGTGGGAGAAAAAAGAAACATGCCCCTGCATCAGTAGTCATTAGGAGTAACAACCGCTTCTGCGTCAGTAAAAGTAATACCTGCTCTTGCGCCAGTGGTCAGGAATTGATGTTCATATCTCAAATATACAGATTATATTAAATATTGTAACACACATAGAAAAACACATTTTAAAAGTGTCCTCTTCCACTCCTCCATGACTACATCACGGAGCTGGTGGATGTTAGAGACCTTGCACTCCTCCACCCTCCATTTGAGGATGCTCAATAGGGTTTAGGTCTAGAGACATGCTTGGCCAGTCCATCACCTTTACCCTCAGCTTCTTTAGCAAGGCAGTGGTCGTCTTGGAGGTGTGTTTGGAGTCGTTATCATGTTGTAATACTGCCCTGCGGCCGAGTCTCTAAAGGGAGGGGATCATGCTCTGCTTCAGTATTTCACAGTACATGTTGGCATTCATGGTTCCCTCAATGAACTGTAGCTCCCCAGTGCCGGTATGAGTATGAGTGCTCCCCAGTGCCGGCAGCACTCATGCAGCCCCAAGACCATGCTTGACTGTAGGCAAGACACACTTGTCTTGGTACTCACCTGGTTGCCACCACACACGATGACACCATCTGAACCAAATACGTTTATCTTGGTCTCATCAGACCACAGGACATGGTTCCAGTAATCCATGTCCTTAGTCTGCTTGTCTTCAGCAAACTGTTTGCAGGCTTTCTTGTGCAGAGGCTTCCTTCTGGGACTTGTTAGCCCCTGTGTGATAGCAATAAAATTAAGTGAAACAAAAAGTGACAAATAGTAAAATAAAAAATAAATAAAACCAACCCTTCCCCCCTGCCAACTAAATGCAAATGAAAATGCGTGCGTAGAGCATTTATTACACAAACGTGTACGGAAATGAGGACTGCGTTAGGTATCACTGTGAATGTCAGAGTGAGAGCAATAATTCTAGGGCCATAATTCACTTTCAACCCTAAATTGATGAGCAGTAAAGGCTTTTTAAGGCATCACCTATGGACAATTTTGAGTACCATAGTTTCTCGCCATTGCACGGGCGTGTGCAATTTTATTGTTTGACATGTTTGGTATCTATCTACTCCATGTAACCCCATCTTTTATATATTAAAAAAACAAGTGTATAAAATTGTGTTTGTATGCACTAAAATGTCTTTAAGTGTTTTTTCCTTAAAAGTATCGATTTGATAAACATTTGTGTAAATATCATGTAACAAAAAAAAAAGCAGCTACCATTTTTTTATTCTACAGGGCCTCTGCTTTTAGACAATATACACTTGTTTTAGAGTTTAAAGTAATTTTCTGTCCAAAAATCCAGATTATAGTATGTGTGTGCAAAAATTACAAAATTGCTGGGGTACAAAGTTACATAGTGTTTCGGGTTGAATAAAGACAAACGTCCATCAAGTCCGACCCATATAGGTCCACGCATCATCTCATTCCTAGGGATACTGGTATCCCTGGATATTACGGTCCCTCAAGAAATTGTCCAAACGTTTCTTGAACAAATCTACACTCTTTGGCTGAAATCACTGCCGATGGCAGTGAGTTCCAGACCTTAACCGCTCTTACTGTAAAGAAGCCTCTTTGCCCATTGTGCTGGAATTTTTTCTCCACCAACTTTAGGTGGTGGCCTCTAGTTTTTGTAATGGAGTTAATCTCAGTTTGTTGCCAATGTTGCTGTCACCATTGAACATCTTGTACATGAAAATCATATCCCCCTTAATCTCCTTAATTCCAGCGTAAACATGTTTAAGGTCAGAAGCCTTGTCTCATAGCTCTGGTCCTCTATTCCCCTAATTAGTTTTGTTGCCCTCCGCTGGACTCTCTCCAGTTCAAGGACATCCCTTCTCAGTACCGGCGA